TGGCATGTTTAGGTGCATGCACAAAACAATTTTTTGTGGGGTTAACAACAATTAGAAAGACACTTTAATTGTCAAAAGCAAACGGACAAACAAAAATTTTAAGTCGGAGATGATAGATCACCCTGATGTGGATATTTTTTTGAAATGTATCAACTTTTTAAATTAACTCCCAATAGAATCATGAACAGGCTTTCGCTTTTGCTTTTGTTTATGGCTTAAAGTGTCAAAATGAATAATTCACGAAAATTAAAAAGAAATTAGTCGGGAAAGTTTTTAAATAAGACTTAATTGTAATTTCTATTAGTACCCAAGGTGAGACCATTTCTTGCTTGTTAGGATATTTTGTTTTCCCAAAATTCGAGACGGCATTCTGTTCGCCCTTTTAACTTTGCTTATTAGCATATTAATTGAATTTGAAGGTAAATTCTACGCCGAATTAATTAGCGTTTTTTGTAATTCAGGAAGAGATTGTGTAATAGAAATTTAATTCGAGTTTAATTTGATTGCATTATTTATAACAAGGATGTGATTAAAATTGTCATAGTAATTTAAATAATACTATTAAAAACAGAACAGTCTCGGGGTAGATAAGTAAGGGCAAAAAATTATTAACATGCTTAGATTTGCGGATGATATAAGTAGCAGTGGAAGCACATAGCAAGAAGAAATTACAGAGAGTCTTAACGAATATGAATATTGAATGAAAATAAAAATAAAACAAAAATATTGATGTGCATAGGAGATGAAAATCGGGTTAATAGGGGAGTTTATGTAAATTGTAAAAAGAATTAAAATATTTAAAATTGCAAATGTAAATTTAAATATGTTAGACTTCTTATCAATTTTCCTGTAATCTATAAGTAAAGAACTATTTTGTATATGTTTTCTGAAATTTTAGGTTGAGGTGTTTCGGAGACAACAAAGGGGGCGAGGGGAATGGTCAATTTTCATCTATTTTTTTAAATAAATTTGAAATTGTTTATTTTACAATCATAAAAAATGATATGTCGCATGGTACAAAAAATGACCCCAGGTTCGAAATTAATTTATTTACGTTATGGGTCCGTATTTGGGTCACAGAAATTCATATGTGTACTAATTTTCAACTTAATTGGTCTAGTAGTTTCGGAGCAAATTGACTGCAACAGACGGACAGAGTGATCTTGTAAGGGTTCCGTTTTTCATTCGGACGTAAGGAACCCTAAAAATTGTTAATATGATTTATAAAGGACCTAGATTTTATAAAAAATGAAAAAAAGGTAATGAAAAATTGGTCATACAGAACCAAGATTTTAACATATCGCAAACCTTGTGTGCCATGGTGGGTCAAAAAGTTATTCAATTTCAACCCTCATAAATATCTACACATTCTTTTATTTATTTTCCATTATGTTAGTGTTGTAATTGTCATTCTGTCAAGCTGCTGTCTCATATTGTTTCGTAAATAAAAGTAAATCTCTCCGCAATCCTACAGGATCCCTTGACAGTTATCCTTCTTGTGTTGTTTAGTTTACGAATTTATTTAGTTTGCGAATATCCAATTTATAAAGCCCTTTAACGATGCTTAGAGTTTGAAGAGTATTTCTACTCCAGATGACTTAGAAATGTAGCACAATTTAATGAGTCATTACTAACCTTTAACTAGCATAATAATAATTTAATAGTACAAGTGAAATTTATATCTCCTCGACGAACTAACTGCATTAATAAGTGGTAGCGAACATCTCTTTTAAAAGCCTCTTGTCAACCACCGTAGTAATCGTCCTATTCTATTAATTATTACTGACTTTAGACCTTAATCAGGACGACATCAGTTCAATGGAAATTATGCTGAAGTGCTAAGAAAAGATTGCAGAAAAACAAAAGTGGGTTGTCGAATTTCGATTTATTAGTTAAGTTTTGCTTCTCATTCTGAACGAGGAAAATTACATTTTCCGGTTTTAATAGTCGTTATTTTCTATATTCTAAGAGCGTACGTACTTTATTGCAACAAGAAACAAAAAACTTACGTAAAATAATGTAATGTAGTGTTTTCTCAAAGGACTTCAAAGGCTTCAAAATGCAGGAAATTCCCTTTAAATTTTAAATATTGTACCTTCGAGAAAATCAGTAATATAAATCAAAAAGGAATGCTAAAAAGGTGGTGAATGTAATAGATGCAAGAAACATTTATGAGTGTCTTAGTTGGACGCTTATTTTATTGTAATGGCTAATATATAAGAGAGGGCGTGAGCTGACGCATGCGTGCAAATTTGAATAAATGTCTACGCAATGTGTAGTAGAGTACGAAAATGAAGATTAATTTTGAATTTCCCATCAGGTCCATTATCTACAAATCTAAAAAAATTCATATTTTAGAATGTTTCCCTTAATGTGCAAATAGATATTTTAAGGCAAAGGACCAAGTGTAACGAGGTAAAAACGTATTGCGTGTCTTTACTGAAAAGGTTTGGTAGTTTTGAATATACGTTACAAAAACTTAACCAACTGGATCGAGAAGCTCGAGAGGAAGTAGAAAGACTTGGTGGAAACTCCTGTATGGTAGAAATATTAGATAATTTTTTTAAAATATAATACCACTACCACCACCAGTTCTATCCACTTGAAGGTATTAATTATATTTAACTTAAGTATTTGCTTAAATATATAAAATTGTTGATGAATACTTGTTGCTCGGATTGTCAGTACTATTTGCTTGTGTTTAATTCGCTTCATTTTTATCATGCAAATACAAAAAAATTGAATTGTATTTTTTTTTTGTTTGAAATAAACTTTTAAATTTGTTACATATTTTATTTTAAAATGTCCCAACACCAGTTTTCAGTTGTAGCTTATTTCAGTTACTCGAAAGGATTAAATAAGGAAAGGAATGACTTTAATAAATTATTGATAGTTGAAGTGATGTTGTCTCTCGTTGTGCATATGAAAAAAGGGTGACTTATTTAACAGTTCAGAAGAAGACGGCGAAGCCAAGCTGTGATGCTTCTGATGATGCAAGGTACGTTTTTAATCGTTGCTCTTAAATTTTTATTAGCTTCAAATAGATCAGGAGCTGGTGACAGGTAGGGTTTTCCGATTTTATAATGCATGCTCTTTCGAGGGTTGATAATTTACCACTTGACAGATTATAAAGGTACCTGACCTATGTACGAGGGTGGATTGATAAGTTTCCGGCCTAACCAAGAGATGACGCCACTAGGCCTACCTTGAGGTGACATTCTATAGTACCATCCTTGGATAGCTTGTAGCTATAGTTTCAGCCCGATCTCCTTGCTANCGGATATTATTATTGAATAAAAATATAATGAAAATTTGTTTACTGACAAAGCAGCATTGGTTTTAATATTTTACTACCCTAAATTCTTGTGCACGTGAATATCAAATTTTTCTTTATTATCAGGCAACGAATGTCTACACTGAACAGCTTATTGAATTACACAGGGGTCAAGGGATGGAAATATACTGGAGGGACAATTTCACTTGTCCTTCAGAAGAAGAGTACCATCAAATGACGAAAAGAAGTTAGTAAAGACAACAGAATAATTTTTTTTATTTCCTTTGTGAACTAACGATGATTTTTATTCTTTAGAAACGGGCGGATTGTTTATGTTAGCGATTAGATTGATGCAACTGTTTAGTCATAATAAGGAGGATTTCACAAAATTAGCGGGAATATTGGGTCTGTACTTTCAGATAAAGGACGACTATTTAAATTTGTGCTCGAAAGACGTAAGTTGCGCAACACAATTCGAATTTTTTAAAAGGAAATAGTTTTCCAAAGTTTTTGAGTACACTCAGGGTGAATAAATAAATGACATAATTTTCAAAAAATAAAACGAAAATCGCGGCTTTCGTTTTAGAATAAGATACTCGGCTTGTAAGGTCGAAAATTGTAGTTGAGACTTTGGATTTTAATGCCTATTGTTTCGCGGACATTGCAAGATCTTCAAAGAGGCAATTAAAATAATAAAAGGTATAGATGTTGAAATACAGAAGGTGATAGAATAAATGGGTGATTTAAAAGTCGAACAACCCATTTATGATTATGTGTCACATCAAAATACCTCATGTCGATCGAATAGCAATTATGTCTTTGATGTATAATTAATAATTACGTAATTTAATGTAAACAATGGGACGCCAACGTTCAGAAAATGTTGATGGCCTTTACATAGCAATGTGTGGGGGTGATAATTAGTGATTTTTTGGCTAGATTCTTTTCTTTTTGCCAAGCGTTTTTTCAATATTATTGTTTGATACGTACATTAAAACAAAATGAAAGGTCAGTCTTCGTCTATTTGCTTACACTGTCCGCGAAAGCTTTTACTTTTTGTTTAAGGCACATATTAGAGATGAACTTTTCTTTTTAATAAAAAATATCTTAATAGATTATTTTTCTTTGAAATCTTATTTCTGATGTTAATATTTTCTTCGTCTATTTTACACAAAAATTTTAACAAAAGTTGTAGGTCTCCATCTTCCATATGAAACTGAATTATGACAAAACAAGAAAAGAGTTAATATGATAATATGATAGAGTTTCAGATATTTTTTAGTTTGTTCTAGGCGCAAAGCTCTTTAACTATTTGTGTAATTAGAGAAAATGAGGGCAAGCTAATCTAACCATAACCTAATTTTTAATGGGTACATAATCTTGAAAAGAAAAAGAAATTATGGACCTCTTGAAGGTTAGGCTATGGTTAGAATAGATTGATTTGAAAACTACTAAATATTTTAATTTTTCTCTCTAATTATATGTATAATTAAATCTAAGAGTTTTGAGCTTCGATTGAGCAAATTCGAAACTAACTCGAAAGGATATTTTGATAATTAAATTTTTTTTTTAATTTTTTTACTCAAAGCATAGGTAATTTAATTCTACAATACTTTATTCTTTTCAAATTGCCTGGTGAATTTCTAATTTTGAAGTCGATTTTTGTTTAAAATCTGAACGTCTGTTTAATCTTCATTTAACTGATATGCCCAAATTTAACTTTGATAAAGAAGTTCTTTCGTCTCGTAATGGAAAGCTATTGTTTTTGCCCCAAAGTAATAAGCGAACTGTCATTTAAAAACGATTCTGATGTCAATTATAACTGAACAGTTGATAGCGTTTTCCTCAGACAGATAAGTGAGTTTTATGGCCATTTTACGACGGTATACCCGCGGCGTATTTCACGACCGCCATATAAGGAAGTTTGTCGACAATAGTTAATAATAAAAAAAAACCTTATGACTCCCGAGAACAATTATATTCTATACTGTAAACATTGCTTTTACGACTAAAGAAAATGACACGATGATTTTAAACATTTAGATTTGTCATGGAAACTAAAGGATTTATTGCTTTATGAAAATTTCAAAATATATTAAGTAATAGTCCAAGATCTCAGCACAAGGGGGATGTAAAAAGGGCATAAAGAGACATTCCATGAATGCCTTCTAATTCTTTAACTGAAGAAAGTCCAAAAAATTCTAAACTCCCTGGAAATGGATAATCTAAAATACTGTTTTCCGGGTTCAATGTCATGGTCCATGGAATTTTGAAGTTCCAAATTGATATCAATTCCTGCCAAATCATTACAAATCGTACCTTTAGTAAGAAACTACGAAATTCTATGAATTACGACAAAATAGCCCGTAAAACAATATCGAATTGATAAACGCCAACTGTGGAAAACTGAAAACTACAAGATATTGCGGTGTGCTAATAAATGCTTACAATCCAAAATTCGTAGAAAACGATTCGAGAAACTTCACTTATTAGATGAACCAAAAGCTAAAGAAACTACGAATTCCATTTCTTTCTCTTATTATAATGTGCAAAAGATCGGAAACAAAATGGGGTTGTAAATATTTTGATATAAAATGATTGATTGCAGAAAATAGGTAATGTCTGGCGGCTCTGAGATCTTGCTCTATAACTGACACCACAAACATACAGACTATGAACAAAATAACTGTAGACAAAGAAAGGAAAACAAATAAAACTGCTTCAAAATTTATTATTATTTATTATAGCAATAAAACACCGATTTCCAAAGGAGTCTAAGGTTAAGCTTCTTTATGTTCATTGATGCATTCTCCAAAGGAATGATCAGTGTGTCCGAAAGTAGACTGTTACTCAGTAAACCTAGCGATTTTTAAGTTTTGTCTCTTCAGTTTTCTTTTTTATTTTTTAGACGGTTAGCTTCTTTCTTAATTTGAAGTAATGTTCATCTCTAATGTTGTATCTGCCCATGCTCGTATTGGTTTGTTTTTTGTATTTGGTTATGTAACTCAGAATTCTAAATTCACAAATTGATGCACATCAGGATTGTAAGAAAATCTCAAAAGTGTTCAATTAAATTGTTTAATTTTGTAGTATCACCATAACAAAAGCTACTGCGAAGATCTAACAGAAGGAAAATTTAGCTTTCCTATAATTCATGCAATACACAGTCATCCTAATGATAACCAAGTGATACGTATCCTTTTGAAGATGTTCCCCATAAAAAATTAGCATATTAAGTAACACCACTTCTGATTTGACTAAACTTAAGTAATACTTTTACCATTTTAAGAAGAAACAAAGGTATTTTATTTTAAATGGAATAGCCCTGCATTTTTTCAAAAGAAGCCTAAAAGAATTTTGAGTAATATTCTATGTATTATAGTTTTACTTGTTAACCGTGGAATGAAAGGTCAAAAATTGTACTTTTTTTCGTACTACCGAAAATTGATTCAATTGCTCAGCATTCAAGTTGTTCGTTTTGGAAATTTTTACATATCGCTTTCTTTTTACGTTGATGTTTTCGAAAATTTTGAAAAAAAGAAACGACGTGTAGGTACATGCATAATACTTTCTGTTTGAAGTAAACCTCTTGCTTTTATTTCATTCTTCTAAGCGTATGAAGTTTTAATATAACGAGATTGCGGTTGGTTGATATCAAAACTACATACGTACGTAAGTGAAAGACGACGGGCGAACTACCCTTTTCATTGGGGAAGTTATTCAAAAGAGCAGCTTCCGCTTTGGGATTTTTAAAATAATCTCAAATATGCGTAAAGTTGTCTGATAATAAAAATAAATTAGATTAACCATTACAACAGCTTATGGTAAACATAGTTGTGGTTTGTGTGTTTTCTCATATATTTTTGGATATTTTAGTAATTGATGAACATAAATAAATCTCATAATTTTCACAATTTTTATTATAGCAGTCCACATGAAAAAGTTACTGTGTTAGCGAAACACAATAAAAATTGTGAAAGTTATGAATTTTATTTTATTAGTTTTATATGTATCATCATCATCATAAGGTCATCAGTCCTAAGACTGATTGGACACGTACCTCCACTCTTTCCTATCCTGAGCTAAACTTCGCATTTCCCTAAAACTAGAACAACCCACATCCTTAACTATTTGCGAAGAGTAATCTAATCTAGGTCTACCTCTACCCCTCCTAACTCCTGTTTCTGCCTCTAATATGTCTCTGA